TATATATATATATATATATATATATATATGGAAAGATTCATTTAAGAAGTTGTAAATATTTAAGAAAGTAAATAAGTGATCCTAGCCTTATCTGGTTAACATTTGCGGCTTTGACCGTGAAGCACCGGATAATTTCTCGCACGGGTATGCAAAAGATAGATGAGTAGTTTTGTAACTTTTCCAAATAAATGGCAAATGGGTTCATATGTGAACCCGTTAATTAGTTTATATATGAATCACACGGGTTTATATATAGATCAGTTAATTAATCCAAATATGTGAATAACAAGAGTTCATATATGAGTCAGCTAATTAGTTTATATGTGAATCACACAGGTCATATGTGAATCGGTTAAAATAATTAATATATTAATTACACGAGTTCACATATGAACATGTAGTCCATATGTGAATCACATAGGTTCATATATAAGTTCATATATGAACTCATTTTTCATGTATTTATAGAAGTTACGGAACTAACCCCTCTATTTTTCCATAGCCACAATTTTTTAACAGTCAAAGTCGCAATTATTGACTAGTCAATTATGATCTTAACCGTATGAAGGGCTAAGATCACTTCTTTACTTCTCAAATATTTATCATTTTTCAAAATAACTTTTGGATATGTATACACATATACATACTGGGTTAGGCTCATGTGAGACCAATGGTTTTTCGTGAAACCTGTAAGACCAATTTATGTTCATTGATCAAATTTATAAGCTAATGATCTAATGGTCTAAAATTGTACGGTGACAATTTTGTAATTATTGAGAAGTCTCATAGCAATTCTGTGATTATAAATGTTCAAATTGTAGATCTAATCCAAGAGTTGAGAATTGGTCTTACAGGTCTTATGAAAAATCTTTGGTCTCACATGATCCCAAGTCTATACATAATTATACATGTATATATACGTATATGTATACGTATATACACGTATACATATACATGTATAAAATATGTATATGTACATATAGACGTATATTTGTATGTATATGTATACATATATCTATATCTATATGTATACATATACGTATATATATATATATATATATGTATATATCTGTATAGGGGCCTAATCAAATGAGAACTACTTAGTTTGTGGTAACTGTGAGAACCAATATTAACCACAAATCAATAGATAAATTAGGAAATTTATAATTTTGGCAATTTTGAATTAAAATATTAATGCAAGGATATTTTTGGTATTTTAAAACTTTCCTCCCTTCTCTCTTCTCTCTCCGGCCACAGTCCTCCGGCCACCGTCCGCCGGCCACCGTCCTCCGGTGATACTACAATGGTATCACAATGCATCATATATGTGCTTGGGGTATCACATTGATGTCGTTTGTGTGGTCGATCGAAGATGTAACACAGTGTTATCACTATGCATCTTATATATGACTAGGTATCACAATGTATCTTTTGTTTGACAGAGTCAATATTTTTAGGTATCACAGTGGTATCATAGTGGTATCACCGGAGGACAGTGGCCGGAGGCCGGAGAACGGTGGCCGAAGAGAGGAGAGAGGAGAGTGTTAAAATACCAAAAATATCCTTGCATTAAGATTTTAATTTAAAATTACCAAATTTATAAATTTCCTAATTTATCTATCGATTTGTGATTAATATTGGTTCTCACAGTTACCACAAACAACTCAGTTCTCCCTTGAATAGGCCCCTGTGTGTATATATATATATATATATATATATGTGTGTGTGTGTGTGTGTGTGTGTGTATGTGTGTGTGCACGCATACATATACCAATATATATATATATATATATACCTATATATAGTGGTTTAATCAAATGAGAACCCTAAAATTTATGAGATCTGTGAGATCCAATATAAACCACTGATTTAAGATAATTATATTCATTATTAAATAAAAATGAAAGCTAACTTGATTAACTCATAAATGCATTTAGTTAATTTATTCTCCCATAAATAGAAAATCTATAACTTCCATAAATAGAAAATCCACAATTTCTCAAATAGAACATTAATTAATTGTTCACAATATGTATTCAAGTCCTTAGACAATAATTCTAATGATTTTTTTTTTCCTTTTGGTTCTTGGTGTCGAGGTGTCACATTGTGTTCACAAGATGATCACAATGTATAAAAATCTAGGTGTTCACAACATGTATCCAAATTCTAACACAATAATTTTAGGGATCTTTAATTTTTTTTTGTTCTTAGTGTTGTTGTGTCAAATCATTAATTTCCTAATTTAATTTGTAGTTCATATTGGATTTCACGGATCTCACAAATTGTATGGTCCTTGAAAGAAGACCCTTTTATATATGTATGTTTATGTATATAGGGTTGAGCTACAATGAATAATTCATATTTGGCGAAAAGCATGAGCAGTGTTTTCATCCATCGGATCAATTTTGATTAATCATCAACCGCCTAAATGAGGTTGCACGAAAGTTTCCTAATATAATTGAAATTAAGAGTATTATGGTTCACATGCACGACAACTTCATAAAAAAGAATCAAATAGCCTTTGACCTAGCAGTATCGTAGTATTAGTTCTCCTAGGAGGTCAGAGGTTTAAACATCACCAAAGGTGAGGAAGTTATATGAGTTTATTTGTTACATTTGTCATATATAAGTATTATATTCTTATAAAACAAAACTTCATAAAAAAGAATAAGAAATATATCAAGTAAAAGTTTGTCTTGGAGAAAGAGAGAGACTTGTGATCATTTAACAAAAAAATAAGAGATTTATTGAGAAGTGAGAAATAAGAGATTTAAAACCACAAGGACCAAATTCGTAATTTACTCTATATGTACTTTAATCAGAGGACGTTTCAAATGCAACTCATCACATTTGTACAACCAATGCAACACAATCAATTGAAATATTTATGAAAATAATGAGAGTTCATTTATTATGATTTGAATATTTATGAAAGATGATTAGTGTTCATTAATTATGATCAATACTTTATATTATGAAACAATCAAAATTTCTATGAAATTAGATATTCATCAAATTAAATGGACGATTGATATTGAGTTGTATTGGTTGTACAAATATAAAAGGTTGCATAATAATCCACATCATTTTAATCATTTAGCAAAGATATATCAAGTACAACTTATTTATTTCGATTTAATACAATCTTTTACTTCTATTCAATAAAAATTTACACACATACACATATATACAAAAGAAATTTATAACTACAAAAATAATTTAAATTTTTATTAATTAGATATTA